TAGAGAACAGGAGGCAATAGAAGTGAGCGCGCCCACAGCCTGGAGGATGCGGCAGCTTCCCCTCCCCCTTGGTCTTCGGGACGTTTGCTCCCAGACCCAGCCGGGGAGGCTTCTAGCTGGGACCAGGAGGCTGAGCAGCATCCCCGCGGCTTTTCTGCGCGGGGCTGTTGCCGTGCGGCCTTGCCCAGGGCTTTCTGCTGCTGCTCCGGAAGTTCAGATGCACTGGCCCCTGCCCTCCAGCTCTGGGACCCGTGGCACAGGGCCTCCCTCAGAGCTCAAGCTGCCAGCAGCCATCACCCCGTTGCAGCCCCCTGAGGCAGCCCGCCGCGCCCCCTCCCCCCCCCCCCCCGCCTCCCCCAGAAGCAGGCCTGAGCCTGTCTCAGGTGTGGAAGGAGCTCCCTGGGCACCTGCTTATTAGGACCGTGCAGCTGTCAGCGCAGGACAGAGGGCCAGTGGCATGGGGTCTGTGCTGGGCTCCCTAGCACAGAGGGAGGGGAGTGTGGAGAGCAGGCTGGCACACTTGGGGGGGGGGTCCAGTGCCCCCTTCCTCTCCTGCACACGCTGGCTGGGCGGGTACACTGAGCCCCTGGATGCCTGACCCACGGGCATTGCTTTCTGCTGCTTCCCTGGAGCAGCTGGGAGGTGGGCACACACCCTGTCCCCAGCAGGCGCCCGGCCCTACCACCACAAGGGAGCCCTCAGCCAGTCAGGTGTCAGGACCCAGCACACGAGCGAGCGCCTTGGCCAGGACCGTCCTGCTCTCCCAGCCTCGGGCTCCCATCTGTGAGGGAGGCGGCAGGCCAGTGTCTCCTGCAGGTGGAATTCAGAACTGTCCTGTCCGTGTGTCCAGTGCACCCGCCCTGAAACCTTTATGATGCTCTGCTTTCTGCTTAGATAACAGGTCCAAGCTCACACACAAGAAGTCAAGCGGCAGGAAGACATAACCACAGTCGGGCTGCCCAGAAGGGCAGAGGAGTCCCAGGTACACAGTCCCAGCTCGGGGAGGCCTGGCGCGCACAGGGCTGGTCGTGTGGCCTGCTCTCGCCCTCTGCGTGTCTCCAAGTAGTCACTTCAAACCTGTGGCCAGGGGATCGATGGCATCTGAAGTGACTCGACGGTCTCCTCCTGAAAGCCCAGGCGAGCCTGACTTGTGCGGGCGCCTGGCAGGGAGGACTCTGGTCAGGGTTCGGACCAGGGTGGTGAGTGGGCTCCAGGCAACGGCTGCCTGCATAAGGGCACCAGCTCTTCCTGTGGAATGCCGGGCCTGTGCGTGGAGGGTACCAAGTAGCCTGGCAGAAAACGCTGAGGGAAATTCTTTTAATTTTTATTTATTTTTTAAAAATTTATTTCAGAGAGGAAGGGAGAGGGAGAGAGAGAGAAGCATCAATGATGAGAGAGAATCATTGATCGGCTGCCTCCTGCACGCCCCGTACTGGGGCATGAGCCCCCAACCCGGGCAGGTGACATGACAGGCCAACGCTCTGGGGGAAATTCTTTTCTCCCCAAATACCTCGCTCTTTGGAGCTACAAGCTCAGATTACTTTTATTTTTAAAATGCTTTTAATTTTAAAAGCTTAAAAGAAAAAGAGGCCAAGCCCACGAGGTCACCTGCTTATGTGACTCTTATCTTGCAATGGAACTTCTTGGACTTGGATTTGAAGTAAAGATGAAGAATATTTATTTAGAGAAAAACAAGAGGCATTTTACAATTCTAGTTATGACTGAACTTGAGGGAAACACACCAATAACCACCTCCCCTACCAGGCTGATGCCGGGCTCCCTCAGCCACCAGTGCTGTGGGTGCTGTGCCAGAGGCTGGGGCTGAGGCAGGCAATGCCTCAGCTAAACTGGTGGGAAGAGGAGACCGCCAGACTAGACCCTAACCATCCCTCCCCCCGCCCCGATATCTCTGGCAGCATGTGGAAGCCCATTTTACAGAGCACAACACTGAGGCCCAGGACTTTCGGACTCCTCCCCCTGCACCAGCCTCCTTGGCTCCTTACCCCAGACTGTGTGCTCCCAGCTGCAAACCTAGATGGGGGAGTAAGTAATGGGGTGGGAGCTGGACCCCCAAATGCAGAGAGGTCAAGGCTATAGTCAGTTCCTCGGCATCTGTGCTGGGCTCTCCTTGTCTCCCTGCCAGCTGCCCACATGTTGTCTCCAACTCGCAGACATGGCACAGGCTTTAAGGTCAGAGCACGCCTGTGCTGGGCAGGCATCAGGGAAGGCTCCCTGAGGAGGTGGCTGAGCCCGAGGGCAAGGAGAAACCAGCCCAGCACCACCCAGGCACTGCTCCGGGTCTGGGCTGGGACGCAGAGAGCCTGGGGAGCTGGGAGAGCCAGGAGCAGGTGGCAGGTGCCCACATGCAAGCGCTGTGCCATCTTGGAGCGAGTCACCGCCTCCCTTGCCTCAGGAGGCGACAGAACCTTCTCTATCCCTCAGATGAGAACGTTAAGGCCCCGGCACGGGGAGGCCTGACAGGTGGGGAGAGGTGTGTAGAGGGCCCAGCTGGTCTATTGTCTGTGATGGGCTAGAACCTGGCCTAGTTTCTCTCCCTGTGCTGTCAGCGTTGCTGGCACCCTCCAGGAGGCCCTGGGAAGGTGCATGGGGCAGCCAGGCAAGGCCCATCCTGGCCGGGCTTCCACCTCCAGAACCAGCCCCAGGGCCCCCCGTGCGCCCCGCGACAGCCTTGGCAGCAGGTGGGTCCTGAGGTGTGGCAACACGCATGGCTTCCTTGCCACAGGAAGGAGGTCTCGGGCCACCCAGCTCCCAGCTGGTACAGGCAGAAGCTGGCCCACATGCTTGAACACCAGATGGCCGAGAAAACATGTCTGTTATGGACTGAACTGTGCTTAAGTCTTAACCCCCGTCCCTCAGAACACGCCCTCTTTTAGAGGCAGATGCAGTCAAGTTAGCGAGGTTGTTAGGGGCCCTAACCTAGCAGCACTGGTGTCCTGTGCAAAGGGGGAGTGTGGACAGATACGCACCTGGGACTAAGCAGCCATGTGAAGCCCGAGATGCTGCTGCCACAGCCGAGGAACCACTGGAAGCTGGAAGGGCCTGGGACAGACCCTTCTGAGTGCGGCCTCCAGAGCCCCCGGGCAATACGTTCTGTGGTGCTCGGGCACCCAGTCTGCGGCGCTCGCTACAGCAGCCCCAGGAGGCATGTCCACCTCCTGGCCAGGCTTGGACTCAGCACGTGGGCTCCTGCAGGCCTGGGCCAGAGTGCGGCGCTGTGGGCGGCCCGCGGGCAGCTCCCACCAGCTCCAGCCTGCACTTCCAGGGCCACCGAGCTTCCCCCCAGCCGGTCCCCTGCCTACTGACAGCTGCCCTCCGCACAGCCCTGTGCACAGGGCTCAGACCCAGTGAGGTCACAAGGCCCCAGAGGTCGGCTCTGGCCATTCAGCAGGGAATTCAGGGGTTCCAGGTCCCCAGTATGGTCTGGGGTGGGGGGTTAGGAGGCCGCTGGGGGCCCTGAGGACTCACCTGGCTTCCCAATGTGGCAGACGGAGCTTGGTTTCACGTGGAGGAACTGAAGACCGTCCTCTGGTGTGGCCCACGCGTCTGAAGTGGGAATGGGAGACGGGGAAACCAACCTGACTGGCTGTCAAACTGAACCTCAGCTTGCCGGGCTCGGAGAGCGGGGTGCCTGCTCCGCACTGCGGGGTCCCAGGGAACACTCACCTACCACCGCCACTGGCCAGGCCTCCAGAGCCAGTCCCGTCCACGGGCCACCTTCCCACACCTCCTGTGCCAGCCACACTAGCGGGTCCCTCAAGCTTCCAACGTGCGCAGACGTCGGGGCCTTTGTTAGGGCTGCAGGACCGCCTACGCCACTCGGCCCGCATGTGCTCCCGCTCAAACGCCGCCCTGAGCCCTGTCTGGCTCCAGCTCCGGTTGTGGTCTGAGCCCCCCACCCCCTCCGTGGTGTCCCGGGCTGGGCTGGGCCGGGATGGGGACTGGGAAGACCTCTTCAGAGGGACCAGGGCAGGATGGGCGGAGTCAGGAGAGGGCGGGCCCGCGGGTGTGTGCGCTGGGCGCGCTGCGCCTGACCCCAGGGTCCGAATCCTGCCCCGCAACCCAGGCGTCCCCGGGTGAGGCGCACAGTGCCTACCCCTGCCTCCGAAGGCCCGGCCCACAGTGACACAGTGGGGTCCCCCTGACCTCTGGCCTAGGGAGGCCCGCTCCATCGGAGAGGCGGGGGGGAGGTCACCACCTGCGCCAGGCCCTTCGGGCGTTGGGCTCCCTTGGGGTGGCCCCGCCCCCGGGCCCACGGGGAGGGGGCGGGACTCTGGGAGGCGTGGCCGGGTGCCCCGCCCCGTCCCGCGGCCGAGTCGGGGCAGTCGGGCTGGCGGACCGCCGGGAGCCGCAGGGATGCGTCAGGCGTCCGAGACCCTCCGTGGCAGGGCGAGGCCTAGGGGCCATTCGGGGGACGCCACGACCGCCCCCGGGAACAGTACAGGTGAGGCCAGGACCGCGGGGCGCGATTCGGTCTCTGCGCCCTTTCCCAGACGGGGCGGGGGGGGGGGCA